ATCTTCTTTCAATTCTGTCTTTCATTATCAACTCAATTCTGTTGCCGTACAGCAATACCACTTGTCTTGACGGAATTGTGGTGTTGCTCGGCAACACAAATTCGTGAACAATGAAGCGACAGAATTATCTTGAATATTCAGAACATCGTGATATTACTTGCTTGTCAGGAGTTACCATACCATTTCGATGCTTGGTATTACTATCAGCAATAACCTTTCTTGGGAAAATCACGTGAGATCAATTGCTAAAAGTGCATCCCAAAAACTTCTGTTTCGGGCCAGGAGCTATTTCACTTCCAGTCAGCTGCTTATGATCTATAAGGCACAGATCCGACCTGTCCTGGACTACTGTTCCCTTATTTGTAGTGCAGCACTCAAACATACCCTGAAACTGTTGGATCCTGTCCAAAAAAGGGCAATTCGTCTCGTGGGTGATGCCTCGCTCACAAACTCACTCACTTCTCTGGAACACCGTAGAAAAGTTGGCGATCTGGCTCTATTTTATAGATATTTTCATGGACGATGCTCTTCTGAAATATCAACAATTATTGTTCCTTGGCAGTCCCCGCGAGATTAACCCGTCGAGTTGAGGCTTCGCACCCCTCTCGTTCATCCAACGAACAGCGAGGCTCTGGAATACATTGCCAAGGGAGGTGTTCCCCGAGGCATGTAACCTCCAGAAATTTAAGAAGAACACCAGTTCCTACCTTATTCCCCTTGGTTCTCACGATGTTCTCTGAACATTACAGGACATCCCTTTTCGTGGGAACCGGAACTTGAAAAAAAAAATACAAAATCTCAGATATATTCTGGAAAAATGTATATTTCAACGTCCTCTATCTCAATTACCAACCGTTTGCAAAGCATATGTTCATAGAGAGAGATATTGGTGTTTTATGTTTTATCGAGTTCTATCGATTCCTGAAGTATAAGTTATTATAATTTGATCACACTACATAATTTCTTGGAGTAAAGTTTATGTTATTAATTTCTTGATTATATGAAGTGGACTACACACAGAATAAATACACTTATAATCTCTGAATTAGATAAGATATAACTTTTGAATTTTATTCACGATCATCGTTCCAAGGTATACTTATGTATTAAAGATACAGGATATTCAACTATAAGTGCTTGTTCTAACTTTGAAAAGTGAATCTTTGACTGATTTTGAGATAAAAGGTTCATATGAATATGGGTTCGCATTTGCTTGATAGTTATTGAGATATTTGGCGTTCAAAATAGTTGTTTTATTTGGTTTAACAGTTACATCAAAATTTGACGAAATTCGACAGGAGTATATTGATGATGATAAACTCAAAAATATACTTAGTTTTTTACATATAATATTGTAGCTGGATTCGAATAGCCAAATTTTTTTATTGTTACGCTATTCTTATGTAATTTTACTCTGGTACTAAGGGTTCAATTAATATTTGTCGCTGGCCATTGGGCTGGTTCAAAGTTGACCTGCGATGAATAGTATTCGAAAAACAAGTGAAAAATTATGTTTAGAAAAAAATCATTACTATACCGCCAATTAGATGAAAGCTGTTGTGAACCCATGTTTACAGAACTTCCATCTTGAAATTAGTCGTCCTTCAAACCTTGTACAAATACATGATCAGCATCCTGTATATTTATTTTTATCTACACATTTTGCGTACAGTACTACTAATAAATATTCCATATAACATTGAATCTTTCTTATATTTTTCAGTTAAACCATATAACTATCATGCTTTTCAACTAAATTATATGAAATTGTGAACTATTTTTAGTTTTTGTTTTGTCTTGCCATTATTCAAAAAGAGGCTTTGTCAGATTACAAATCCTTAGTTTTTTTTTTTTATTTACAAGTATGCGCATCAACCAAAGTGGTTATTAGCGCAGGACAAAATAACAGGTACAGTATCAACAGATTACACTAATAATATTTTCTCAAATCTTATCAACTATGTCGATGTTCGATAAAAAATTCGTCAGGTTCACTTCACTGAAATCGTTTCCGAGGATTTTACGAATGTCTGTGGATATATTGAATATGTCTCGAGCATTACGGTACTTCGGGCACTCTATTAGAATGTGTTTCACCGAGAGATTCGTTTGGCACTGGTCACAGATTGGAGCTTCAGTATGAAGAAGGAGGTGTTCATGGGTGATTTTGGTATGGCCGATCCGTAATCTAGATAGGGTTGTTTGGCATTTTCGGTTTTCCGGTACCCGTTTCCATGGGTATATGGATGATTTAATCTCAGCTAATTTAGATGTGGATTGTTGCCATTGGTTTTGCCATTCACATAATATTTTTTGTTTTGCAAAAGTTTTGAGGTCAGTTGCTACTACTCTTGAGACGATTCTTGATGCTGGGTTTGTTATAGCTTGTCGTGCAGCGGTATCTGCTTTCTCGTTTCCCGGAATACCAATACCTAATATTGATGATTAAAAAGAGCATATCGTCGACGAAACCGCAAAACCAAGTAACTGCAAAAACCAAAATTTTCAGGACACACTAAAAACTTTATAATTTCGGGTTAACTGATCAGATTCAATAAAAAATAGTAACACATGATTATTATTATTCTTACGTTTGTACATCGATCATCGAAAAAAGTCATTGTTTTCGTTTATCAGCGTAAGATACTTGGTTTTGACATGTGCTTCTGTGCAAAAGCAACAACAATCATTCAGAAAAGTAATTCGCAAAAACACGTAACTTCATTTTCCTGGACTTTCCACTTTACAAACACTTGAGGTGAATTCTCACATCCTGTGTTGAAATACCAATAATTGTAGTTAAGAATAATCTGTTTTACATATCGGTTCTATAAAAAGTCACTCACCAATTAGCAGAGATTTATCTCTGTGAAAAGAAATTGAACACAAAATATCAGAGGCGTCAATCACGTTGCCAACTGTAAGATACTTGTTTTTGACGACCCCTTTTATTTTGTTTTTCAGATGAGGGGTTTTGTATTCATGGATTCTAAAATATTTACATTTTTTTACCAGTTGTGAGGTTTCGCACACGCATTTCCACCAATATGATAGACCGATTGCCGCCAGAATCCCATTTTCGAATTTTTGTCAGTTACTTGGTTTTGCGGTTTCGTCGACGATATAATATATCATTAACGATCATGACGAAGCTGGAAGAAAGATGGTGTAGCTACTAATATTTACCACGTGACAGAAGTGTTCAGTTCAGTTTACTCCTCGACGCTTTGCGTCTCGGTTAACTAACTAATCTCACGACAGGAACGAATCACTTCCCACCTCGGTGTGTAATATACTATTTCAGATTTTTTGATTGATCAAAAGTTGTCATGAGAATCTACGCCATTGTGTGCTTCTGTTCACTGCTAAACACTTGATATCGCCATCTTGCAGAAAAATGGAATAATTTTACCATAACACTGTTAACAGTGTAAAGCGTTTTGATCACTATCTTCCTTTTACAGTGGCGGATTTACCGGTACGCTTAGTATGCTCAAGCTTAGGGCCCCGACCCTTGCAGGGGCCCCCGAGGGACCCTGGCATTGCATGACTATTTTCCCATATCATTGTATAGATGAAATAATGATTGAAATGAATTTCTCTTTTGAGCAATAGGTATTTATTTTATATACCTAGAAGCAGCGACAACATTCCATGCAAAAATGTTGAAAACCATAATCGGGGTCCTGCCGATGTCATAGCGACAGTGGGCCGGTTAAGGGAAAGAAAGTTGCTTAAATCCGACAAAAGTTCAATAACTTCCTCGATATGTCATTTTGCAAACTGAAAAAAAAAACATGTGACGTTTCGATTTAGATAAAATATCAACAGTAAAAACAAAATGATTTTCTGTTTTTTCATTCCAATTTTTCAGGAACGGCAATTTTTTTTCATCTGCAAAACGTATACCGTTGAGGAAATAGTAATAATAATCCTATGAAATCGGCGGGACCCTATATACTGAAGGAATGATGGACGTGTTTTTCAATGCAGAAATACTACATTGAACTTTTTTCAACACTGCCATCAGTGACCAATTGCGGAGGAGAGCATTTATTTTCAAAATTATCAATAATCAAATCAAATTGTATACCTAATTCCGAAGAGAACATAACAAACTTTGGGAATGCTTTCCATCGGAAGTGATTTGATGAGCAGTTCGATTTATGATGGTGCAATGAAAGTATTCGCAGATTCGTGAATCAGAAAATTGGAAGTGATATCGTAGTATGTTTCTCCTAGTAATCTCGTTACGGCTTAGTTCTTTCATTTTGAACGTATCTGATCCTAGTCAGTGTTATAGTTACGTTCATTTTATTTCATGTGGCACTGATTTTTTTTATTTGTTATTATATCCTAAACCATATCAATGAATGCACTTTTTTTTGTTCCTTATATCCTATATATTTTCATCATGCATTTTTCGCTTCTATTTGGTCAGAAAATGTTAGATGGGAAAATTGGTGAGAAGAAATAACAGGAGGAGAAAAAATGATGGGTAGGAGCCACAAGGGCCTCAAGAATTATCAAGCTTAGGGCCCCAGAAATCGTAGATCCGCCACTGTCCTTTTATGATGAACTTGACATCGTTCAGCATTTCACAAAATTGATGTGTGTGTGTTTTGTTTTCAATATAAATATTCATCTTTGGTAGAAGTCCACATTGCTCAAAGTGGAGTGAAATTTTTCAAAGGAAGGAAGGAATGCTTGAAGTCATCTACACAAATTTTAATGGCGTTGTTACACAATCAAGGGACATGTTGTGGTCTAATAAAATACAATCTTCAGCCTAATTGGAAGTTTTGGAGTAGCATCAAATGTTTCAACTCCAAAACGTTCAATTAGGCTGAATATGGTCTTTTATGAGATCGAAACATGTCCCTTATGATTGTGTAACAACACCATTATTTGTGGAGATGACTTCGAGCAATCCTTCCTTCCTTTGATAAATATTCATCATTTTGATTTCAATTATCATTTATTTTGCCTCCTTAATATAGGGTGGACTGGAACAACAGCTACTGCAGGCTAATCCAATTTTAGAAGCCTTCGGTAATGCCAAGACAATAAAGAATGACAACTCGTCGAGATTCGTAAGTAGTATATTTGAGAAGATTCTACTGAAATTTGATATTATGGGAAGACCAGTTTTTCATTCTTTTGATTGTCCAATGAACTGACAGACACAAGGTTGCTGTAAGGGACACCACGTTTGTTTTCAATGGCCTACTAGTTATTTTTATGCTCATAATATCATAGTGAAGTTTGGAAGACTGTGGTTAGAGGAACAAATACAAAATATACTCAAAATATCACTTGAATATACAGGGTTTATCTAAATAATACCGAAAAAATTCAAGGGGTGATTCTTTGTGATATTTAAGGACATAAAGTTTATATAAACATTCGTTTTCGAGATACAGGGTATTAACATTTCCATGAAAAATCTTTTTTTTATTTATTACTCAGTTGTCTTTTCATCAATTTAAATAAAACGTTGTGGTCTTGTTAATATTAATATGGAGCTTCTTCTAGTACAATTAGATTCGAAATAATATTTCCAGTGGCGTCACAGTGGTTAAATTCATCGATATTGATGGTGAATGTAATTGTACGCCACCCGTATTTTCTGAGTTATAATAAAAATATTATTAGATTGAACTATTGAAATTACAACTATTTTATCCTCTGTGTTATTTTTGTATCTAGCTTAATTTTTGAGGAAACAATGAAAATTCGATTTGACTCCAAATTTTAATCTAGGCATGTTTTGACTTTCTGAATACTGGATTTTGGCACCATGAAAGCTTATACAGGGGAGTTATGAATTAAAACAATTGATACTTGCAATTTCAACATCCTGTATCTCAAAAACGGAGCAAGTTTATATGAACTTTATTTGCTAGAATCTCACAAGGAATCACTACTTATATATACATACATATATGTATATAAAATATAATCTTCCCAAAATATCAAAATCCAGTTTATAGTTGCTCGGAAATATTATGTGTTATGCATCCTATAATTTTAGGGTAAATTCATTAGGATCAACTTCGATGCGTCAGGATATATCGCTGGTGCTAACATAGAGACTTACCTCTTGGAAAAATCACGTGCCATCAGACAAGCCAGACAAGAAAGAACCTTCCATATTTTCTATCAGCTGCTTGCCGGAGCATCTGAAGCTCAACGAAGTAAGAACAACCAAAGCAAACAGTTTCATCCGAAGTTCTCATTTTTCTTTCTTCAAAATCAATGATAATTTCATTTTTTTTATTAATTTGTTTCAACTCATGTACATCATGAATCATCATGTCTTCTTTTCGGCATTTTTCTGGATAGAGAACTTTTCTAGATGCCATTTATTCCAGTCATAGGTAGTTTTTTGTAAACGAATTTTGGGGTAGTTATGAATTTTTAATATATTTAGTTTACGGCAGTTTATGCATATAAGGTATGCTACCAAAAATATTTATAAAATAGTTATTTATGTACAGGGTGATTCACCATAAATGTCCCCCCTGATTTTCCAGAATTTTTTTCCCGTGCATCAGAAAATACATGGTGCTCCGAACAAACGATCTACAGAGTACTACTTGATTTTTCGAATGGAACACCCTGTATTTCATTGTATTTTTAGATTCTCCCTGAAGAGCTGATTTCATCAGTATATCACACTTGGGGTCTAGCGGAGTAGCGGGAATGATTACAGAGATATAGGGTGTTCAAAATCGAGATTTTCCAACTTACGGATTTTTTGGTGTCGAAAATATTCATTATTGGTCAAAACGGCTTTAATGGCCCTATCTCAACTTTTAATCCACTATCTACTGACATTTATTCGGAACATATACAGTGTGGTTCAAGATTCAGAATTCTGATCACCCTGTGTCTCTTCCAATTATCAAATGTCAGTAGATAGTAAATCAAAAGTCAAGATACGGACATGAAAGCCGTTTCGACCGATAATGAATAGTTTAGTCACAAAAAAACCAACGATTTTGAACACCCTTTATCTCTGTAATCATTTTCACTAGACCCCAAGTATGATGCATTGATGAAATCAGTTCTTCAGGGAGAACCTAAAAATACAATGAAAAATAAGGTAAAAAAATCAAATAGTACCGTATAGATCGTTTGTTCCGAGCACCTCGTATTTTCTGATGTAGCATAAAGAAATTCTATCGAAAATCATTTTAGATGATATTTAAAATTTTGCAATCAAAATAACTGAGCTAGATGGGGGGGACATTTATGGTGAATCACCCTGTACCGAGGACGAAACGCTGTCTATTATAGTCGAGTCTGCAACTTGATAGCAAGCGACTTATATTCCCATCACGGTGCTATTCACACGTGGAATCTATCGGATTCCGTGAAAATTAATTTGATATCAGCAAATGACAGTTGTTGTCAACTCACTCTCCGCGCGGACCAGGGTTGCCAGTTCGATTCCTATTCCATCACTAAATACCTTGTCAAATATTCAGTAGATTGCAATAGATTTGTTTGAAATCTATTTTATGCTATTCGAATTCCAAGAACGGATAATAAAATAAACCTATGACGTCAAAACATTATGTGCTCTTAGTAAACAGAAAAGTACCCTATTTCCAAAACAAAATAGAAACAAACAAAACGAACATTCTCATAAAATTAATCATATTCCTCATTCTCAATTCAAAAATACCAACAAATATCACAAAATACAGTTACATAGGTACTTAAAAGATTTGAGTATATAAAAAACAGGAACGGATAGTAAAAATGGACAACAAAAATGCAAAACAAATGAAAAAATTCAACGTAAGGAACAAACTGTTATAACAGAAATATATAAAAAATTAAATCGATCTAAATCAGATAAGGTATTGTTTCTTTTTTGGTTAATGCATACCATTAGTACCTATATGTACATTTACTGCTTATTTTGTAAAATTAATGTAAACAGAGCTTGCCGAAATATCATGCAATTTATAAGTGTATGTGATTAGCTAAAGATTAATAATAATATAGGTAACTATAATGATGGATAAGTATCAAAATAGTTTTCAGTAAATTATGAAATGTTTCAGTAGATCAGTAGATCAATATGCAAATCAGGAGATCTACTGAAAATTCAAAAGAACTGGCAACCCTGCAGCGGATGAAAAGTGTTTGCAGACGAAAAGTTAGTGTCTGCGGACGAAAAGTACTTGCCTTCGGTAATAGGCGGTTTTTCGTTCAGAAATTAAAACATAAACTGATTTTTCGTCGGCCGACGAAAAACATACTTGATTATTGCCAATTTGGCAATTTGAATGGAAATTTCCGAAGAAGATAGGAAAAATATCGATTCTTCAAGTCACCAAATAATAGAAATCAGATAAAAATATGCATAGATTCACAAGAAATCAATTCCACGAGAAAACGGTTTCCTGCATCAACAACAGCTTCAGGTGTCGAATTTGGCTTTTTGAAAATTATTTTTGTCTCATTTTGCAGTTTAGGGTTATATTTTATAGTTTGTACTCATGTTCTTGATTTTTCCATAATTAATTAGAGCCTATGTGGGTTGTGGGGAGCAGTTCTTAACAATGGTCTGCTCAGCAAAATAATACACCACCGTTTGTACTCAAACATAAATGATGAAATTTTATTCTGATCTGAACATTTGAATTTTTGGTGGAAACCCAGTGCGACCATCAGCACCCCAAAAAACATAATATACCAGAAGTTTATAACTACCCACCCCAAAATCTGTTTAAAACGCACCTGATGACTAGACTAAATAAATAGTTGAAGATTACCAATAATTTTTTTTTCAAGTTTTTTAATAGTGAAATAACAAACGCAAACAAATATATCGAAATAATATTCATATTCTTATTGGTAGAAATGAATGTTCCACCTCCTTGATTAACCTACAGACAGTATTTAAAAAGTAATTAGTTCTAGACAAAATTGAAGAGTGGTATTTATACTGATAAAAAAGTTCTATTTTTGAACAATGTGCCATACCTTTTCATTATGAACAAACTTATGTGTATGTCCTTGATATTTCTCGAAAACTTTGTAAATAAATCAATAGGTTTCTAGGGTCGTGATATTTTCGAATACCGACGAATTACGAACATAATATTGGGTTATAGTTTATCCAAAAACAATTGCAGAGTCTCGTGCACTCGTTTCACACGCCGACGCCGCATGATGCACAAGTGACTATACAGGGTGTTATTTGAGTATCTGGCCAAACTTCAAGGGGTGATCTCTCAGGTGATTCTGAGACAAAAAGTTTATATAAATATAGGTCAAAAAATGCATAGTTTTCAAGATCCAGAATGTCAAACTTTTTCGGGACAATCGATTTTTAAAATCTGAATGTAAATTAACTTTGCTATTACAAATAACACCTCCAAATTTGAACAAAATTGGGTGAAGGATTTCCACGATATTTAAAAAGAACCAGTTTTTTTTCAAGTTTGAACTATGCATTTCTGGACCTATGTTTATATTAACTTTTCGTCTCAGAATCACTTAAGAAATCACCCTTTGAAGTTTCGCCAGATACTTGAATTACATCCTGTATTTATTCAATAATGTATGACTATTCTTGCTTCAAAATTTGTGACTATTTGAATATCTTTATTGATTCTAGGCAGTAGAAGCATTACAAAGTATCAAAAAGCAAACTTCTCAAAAATTTATTTGAAGGAAACTTTCTTATCACGGTACGTCGCTTTGTTTTCCCAGAGGAATTCATCCTGGAAGACGCCAGATCCTACGCCTTCCTCAGAGACGACAACCACATCGTCCCCGGCGTCGACGATGCCCTCGAATTCCAGGCCACCGTCAAGAGCATGAACATCATGGGCATGACGCCCGACGACTTCAGCGCCATCTTCCGCGTCGTCTCCGCCGTCATGCTCTTCAGCAAGATGGAGTTCAAGCAGGACCGCAGCTCCGACCAGGCCACCCTGCCCGACAACACGGTGGCCCAGAAGATAGCTCACCTGCTCGGCCTCAGCGTCACCGACATGACCAGGGCCTTCTTGAAGCCCAGGATCAAGGTGGGCCGCGATTTCGTCACGAAGAGTCAGACCAAGGAGCAAGTGGAGTTCGCGGTGGAAGCTGTCTCCAAGGCTTGCTACGAACGCATGTTCAAGTGGTTGGTGACTAGGATAAACAGGTCTCTGGGTAGGACGAAGAGGCAGGGTGCTAGCTTCATCGGGATCCTCGACATTGCCGGCTTCGAGATATTCGAGCTCAACTCCTTTGAGCAGTTGTGCATTAATTACACCAACGAGAAGCTGCAGCAGCTCTTCAATCACACGATGTTCATACTCGAGCAGGAGGAGTACCAAAGGGAGGGTATCGAATGGAAATTCATCGACTTTGGGCTCGACCTGCAACCGACTATCGACCTGATCGACAAACCCATGGGTATCATGGCGCTGCTCGACGAAGAATGCCTCTTCCCTAAAGCGACTGATAAAACGTTCGTCGACAAACTAGTGACTGCCCACTCTGTCCATCCCAAGTTCAAGAAGAGCGATTTCCGAGGTGTTGCAGACTTTTCCATTATCCACTACGCCGGTAAAGTGGATTACTGCGCCCAGCAATGGCTGATGAAGAATATGGACCCTCAGAACGAAAACGTAGTATCTTTGTTGCAAGCCTCTCAAGACCCTTTCGTGATTCATATCTGGAAGGACGCCGAAACCTTGGGTCGAGCGAAGGGAATGTTCAGAACGGTGTCTTACTTGTACAAAGAACAACTCGCTAATCTCATGGTGACTCTGCGCAATACGAACCCCAATTTCGTCCGTTGCATCATTCCCAACCACGACAAGAGGGCAGGCAAAATTGACGCCCCTCTCGTACTGGATCAGCTCAGGTGCAACGGTGTTCTAGAAGGCATACGTATCTGTCGTCAAGGTTTCCCCAACAGGATACCCTTCCAAGAGTTCAGACAACGCTATGAGCTCCTCACTCCTAATGTCATCAACAAAGGCTTCATGGACGGCAAGAAAGCTTGCGAAGCCATGATCAAGTCTTTGGAGCTCGACAAGAACTTGTTCAGAGTAGGACAGTCGAAAATATTCTTCAGAGCTGGTGTTCTGGCTCACCTTGAAGAAGAAAGAGATTACAAAATCACTGATCTCATCGTCAACTTCCAAGCCTTCTGCAGGGGATTCGCTTCAAGAAGAAATTATCAGAAGAGGGTACAGCAACTTAATGCCATTCGTATCATTCAGAGAAATTGCTCAGCTTACTTGAAACTCAGAAACTGGCAATGGTGGAGGCTTTATACCAAAGTCAAACCGTTGTTGGAAGTTACTAAGCAAGAAGAGAAACTAATGCAGAAAGAGGATGAACTCAAACAAGTGAAAGATAAGCTGGACCATCATATCAAAGCAGCTGAAGAGTACGAATCGAAGTATCAACTAGCTCAAGAAGAAAAAATGGTTCTGCAAGAGCAACTGCAAGCTGAAGTGGAGCTTTGTGCTGAAGCTGAAGAAATGAGAGCGAGACTGACAGCAAGAAAACAGGAGCTAGAGGAAATATTACATGATCTAGAAGCTCGTATTGAGGAAGAAGAAGAGAGGGCTATCGTTTTGAGTGCGGATAAGAAAAAACTTCAACTAACGATTCAAGATCTAGAAGAGCAACTGGAGGAGGAAGAAGGTGCCAGACAAAAACTTCAGCTGGAAAAAGTCCAGTGTGATAATAAAATAAAAAAGCTTGAAGAGGATTTAGCTCTCAGCGACGATACTAATCAAAAACTTTTCAAAGAGAAGAAAATATTGGAAGAACGTAGCAATGACTTGAGCCAAGCTCTAGCTGAGGAAGAAGAGAAAGCTAAACACTTGGCCAAATTGAAAACCAAACATGAATCGACTATTGCGGAATTAGAAGAACGCTTATTGAAGGACCACCAGCAAAGACAAGAAACTGATAGATCTAAGAGGAAGGTTGAAACAGAAGTCAATGACTTGAAGGAGCAGGTGAACGAAAAACGCAGTCAAATCGAGGAACTGCACCTCCAGCTAGGTAAACGGGAAGAAGAATTAGCTCAAGCCATGGTAAAAGTAGATGAAGAAAGTGCTCAAAAGGCTCAATCTCAAAAAGCTCTTCGAGAATTAGAAAGCCAACTCACCGAACTACAAGAAGACCTTGAAGCTGAGAAGGCAGCCAGAAGTAAGGCAGAAAAAATGAAGAGAGATCTAAACGAAGAACTGGAAGCTCTCAAAAATGAATTGCTCGATTCTCTTGATACCACTGCTGCCCAACAAGAATTGAGATCGAAGAGGGAACAGGAACTCGCCACTTTGAAGAAATCCTTGGAAGAAGAAACTCAAATTCACGAAGTCACTCAAGCCGACATGAGGCACAAGCATACTCAAGAACTCACTGTTTTGAATGAACAGTTGGAGAATATCAAGAAACTGAAGGCTAATTTAGAGAAGAGTAAACAGGCCCTCGAAGCTGAAAATGCTGACTTGACGAGCGAATTGAGAAATGTTGGTGCTAGCAGACAGGAAGGTAAGTTGATTTTTTATTCACCAAACTGGCAAATCTGTACATATTACAGATCTTCTCCAAGGGTTCCAAAGGTTAATAAAAATAATTTCTGATAAATGAATAACAGGGATTTCATATATTGCTCCTGCGTGATGGCGTTAGTATGGTTGGGGATTATTAACATCTGTGTGGTATAATAAAGCATATCATGACATGGCCTCCAACCTATCTAGCGACATCTGAACTTTTCAGATTATTACGGTGAAATGAAGGGTCTGCAGATTATCGGACTCATAATGAGCAATAGGCAATAACACAGGCGTGAATTCAATTTAAATATACACAACAGGAATGCATCGTTCTTATGACTAGATTATGCTGTGATACTTCAAAATACATAATTTGAATAACCTCACAATTTCATGGAACGTTGAAACATGGCGTTCAGCGACACACTCGTCATACGTCATAACGCCGCTTCTTTGTGTTGCTAAATATTTCTTAAGCTCTGAAGTCATCCAACTGTAAACTGTAGAAATGATTTGATATATTTATTAATGTAGTAAATGTCACCAATGTAGGTTCTACCTTCATTGCCAACTCTATAACTTCATATCTGATGACATGATTACCAATCAAGTAGGTTGTAGGTTCAATTAGCAGCGACAAGACTCGGCCTCACCTCCACTTTTAAGGTTATACCGAAATTGATACATTCTCAATGAACTATTTCATTATACCTGCTTTCATTTTCCCGTTGAGCCCTCAATATACGGATAGTTATTCACCTAGACAGAAATCTGAATTCTGAGAAAATTTCTCTAAAGCCGTTATGACACAATCGCACAATTTCCTGTACAAAGATTGCAACTTGTAACAGGATATTTTAATTGATTACAAGTCAATAAGTGACATGTTCGAGCTACGATATTGATTTCTGATACAGAATATTTCACAATATACAGGATTCAACTCACTGCAGAATTTGAAGAATCAGTTACAAGAAAACACAATATTCATCAGTGACGAATTGTTGTCTAATAAATGTTTCCCGTTTGTTGACGTTAATGATAATTTTGTACAGGGTAATCCACCATAATTCCCCTTGTGACTTCCTTCATTATTAAAATGTGATTGTTTTGTAGATTTGTTGAACCTGGAGCCTATCATTGTGAAACGTACATAAACAGACAGATATAAAATAAAACATGTTAGTAATCTGCAGTTCATTTATTTCCTTGTTGAACTGATTGATTGACAATGGATTTAACGATTTCAACACTGTGAACTTAACAACACAATTTTGTTTCTTCTCGAAAGATATCTTCTCAACTTTATATAATAATCTCATGTTGAAGGAGTTCATCCTTTATTTTATTATTGAAAAGAATTCTTTTGCTGATGTGAGAAAAAATGATCAAGTATTTGGGGTGAATTGAGATGTGCCATGAATATGGAATGGGTAAATGAAGTTCAGCGGTGTTTTTTTTGTTTCGAATTTTAGATAATCTTCATTAGTTTTCGTGATATCGTGTGTTGAAAATTATGAAATCATAGTCAGTCACCCTAGTATTGTATTGATTGAGAGAAAAACGTTTACAAACTGAACATTTTAGGCGAGAGAAGACGTAAACAAGCTGAAAGTCAAGTAGCAGAACTTTCCGCGAAATTATCTGAAGTAGATAGATCTCGCCTCGAACTACAAGAAAAAACTGTCAAATTGCAACAGGAGTTCGAGAATGTCGTTCAACAGCTCGAAGAAGCAGAACTCAAGTAGGTTACCTCCATAGACATATAAAATGAGGGGAGAAATTGTTCACATTTTGTTCCGATCCAACATCGTTTTCAACAGAAAATGATAATGACAAATTTCTGCGGATTGTCCTATAATGTTTATAATATACATTTTTTTTTGTATATTTATTCTGTATGTATTTTCCTTGATTGAAATATGTGAATTATGCTTTTGAAATTATAAAAATTTTCCTGATTTCAGCATTACCTAAAATTGTTCTAAAATTGTTCTATCCGTCATTCGGTTGCCCCCTTACGAGCAACCCTCAGAAGTCTTCGAAAGACTTGTGCGAGCAAGGAATGACCTTAACACATATATTCCATAAAGTCATAACGTTGTTACCATTTTAGGACCTTTCGTGTTTTGATTGATTGTCACTGTTTTCCTGTTACAAAACTATATATCGATCATTATTAACAATCTACTATGGTTTGCCAGTGCATGATCTGTAGAGAAGTTGACCATTCAAACCCCGAATTGGTATTTCAACGATAAGCGAGGTTAGGTTTCTTTCAACTTGAGCAGTGCTGTAGTTAACGCATGTTATTCAACTAAATTATTGCGAAGACATTGTTTCTTTTCTTTGAATTCCACTGGATGGATCAAAATTAGGTAGGTATACCTAAGATACTACGAATATTTGGTGTCAAAATTAAAATGTTAGACCCAAACATTTTCTAATAGATATGAAAGCATTGTCATTGTAGTAAAATTGTCTTGCCCCTCGCTTAACCTACGACACTGGTGAAGAAGAGTTTGAACATTGACGCACAGTTTACAGCGTTGCCATTTTTGAATGCCATATCTTTCTAACTTTTTTGAAACTAAAAGTATGTAGGATTGTGAACAAATAGTGGTTTATGCATGTAATGTCTCCCCTCTTCAATATGTCTATGTTCATCTCCGTTATTTCTCGTTCCCTATGTCATATCGAAAATGTTTCAGAGCTTCCTCTGCCTTGAAGAATCAGAGCACGAGCGAATCCCATCTGGCCGAGGCTCAAGCAGCGCTCGAGGAAGAGACCAAACAGAAACTTGCTCTCAGCTCTAAGCTCAGACAATTGGAGTCGGAGAGGGAAAGCATCCAAGAACAGATCGAGGAAGAAGAGGAAGCCAAGAAGAATCTTGAAAAACAAGTGAGTAGTTAATACCCATTAGAATGACTTTATAATATAGAGTGGCGACAATTAATAGTGATGTACTGTTTGATTGGTCAGACCTCAAATATGGAGGTGCATTCTCCAGCAGTTCTACACATTCTATGTAACCAAACAAATACCAAATATCTAACCTAACAGGTGGGCACTTCGAAGGCGCGAATTCATTACTGTATGGGAGACCCTTCACATTTTTAGTTATTCAGTGACTTACTACAAATGACATTCCGGAAACGGCAGCCATTTCAGAGGTATATTGTCACCACTCTATTTTATATAGTCTCTCTTGTACCCATACGATATTGACCCGATGGAATCGTAGCTTTTTTAATAAATATACATGGTGTTCTATGGAAGAGTGTGAAAAAAAAAACTATCTTAGTCTACCATTCGAGATAATGCATGCAATGTTTTAGAGAAATTCGAGTAAATTTATGATATTTATTGAATCTGAAACCTGCTAAGAAACGCTGCTGCACACTCTCAAGAAAACTTGTTGATGGTCGTATGTCGGGATATTGTTGTTCTAGATGAAAACCTTTTATGCGAGGTATAATGTTGTCTGTCTACTGACCCAAAATAATATAATATAGACATTTATTCATACAAAACTAAAAGAATTTTTTAATCGTCACAAATACATACACATACACATTAAAAATAATAAAAATTCATGATGAGCAGAATCCACGGCACAGCGATTTATTTGCTGCCGTACTTCCGTTATGTGATAACGAGTTGAAACAAAGAGCGAATGAAAGGGAATAATGTCCCCTTTGCGAATATCCAAACGTGCCGTGATTAAGACCCAGCTAAGTTAGTGGCAGAGCGTCATTATTTCCGAGAATATTTCGCCCCTCGAAAGATAATATTCGATGGACCAGTATAAAACTCAACATGTGGATTCGAATGCTTGTAGTGCGAGCACCACATGATTTTCACACTGGTCGAGTGATCAGAAAAATGATCAAATGTTTTAGGAATAATCTAGACTTATCACCAATAATTCAAATATCTCGGATGTTCTAAAAATTCAAATTATTTCTTGTCAAATCGTATTCCAAGACGTACATTCATTCCATTCTTCTCAGCTGTCAATCATGACCGTCCAATTAGCCGAAGCCAAAAAGAAAGCGGAAGACGAAGCCGAACAGGCGGCCATCTTGGAAGAGAGCAAAAAGAAGCTAGCCAAGGACTTGGAGGCGCTCCAAAGGCAAGTAGAAGAACTGACAGCCGCCAACGACAAACTGGAAAGAAGCAAGAAGAAGATCGCAGCCGAACTGGAAGACGCCAACATCGACCTCGAAACGCAAAGGCAAAAAGTGTCCGAACTCGAAAAGAAGCAGAAGAACTTCGACAAGGTGCTAGCCGAAGAGAAGTCGGTTAGTGAGCAACTGGCAGCCGAAAAGGACGCAGTGGAAAAGGAAGCCAGAGACAAGGAGACCCTGGTGCTGTCTTTGAAACGCGAGCTGGACGATTCCAACGTGAAGATCGAGGAGTTGGAGAGAGTGAGGAGGCAGTTACAGGGTGAGCTCGATGAGCTTGCCAATAACCAAGGTACTGCCGACAAAAACGTGCACGAGCTAGAAAAAGCGAAAAGATCTCTGGAGAGTCAGTTGGCCGAGCTTAAAGCGCAGAACGAAGAGTTGGAGGACGAGCTGCAGCTCACCGAGGACGCCAAGCTCAGGTTTGTACCGGGTCGGGGACTTTTCTCAGGGAACGAGTGGATAATGGGCGAGTGGACTGGCATTCAATTATTTCACTGTATCGTCAGGGACCTGAATTAATTTTTGCAACACTTCTTACACGTTTTTGATGTAAATAATGTGTCTATGCATAGTTCGAAGTTGTTGAATTCTAAACGCTGAGAACTGACAAGACAACGCCCACTATCTTGTGTTGTCACGTTTACCGGACCATATCGCCTCTTGTGTGAATTAATATAATCATTATTTATACAAATTCGTCATATGCAACAAGACACAATATAAGAGGGATAATTACAAGACAATAGATTTTTCATAGCTGATTAAGAATATCACCAATACATAATTGGGAATTTAGGTATTAATAAATTAATAATATTTCTGAAGCTCCCATTCGTATTTCAACATATGACAACTGTGCCATGGTCTGCCCCTAATTACGAAATTGTCACATCAGTTTTTATTTGCGGTAAATTTCTAGCAATATTGATGATTCTAGCACATTGAAATCGACCGAAATAATCTGGAATTGAAAGGTAATTGAATGATGATTCTATTTAAGAAAAAAAATCCACTCGCCTATTAGGACCCCCTTCTCTGGTAAACTAGAACTAGAAAAAATGAGAATCGATTTTGTTCATAGTCATATGAACTTTCTTCTTCAGATTATGTCAATTATATGTCAATTATACAGGATGATCCATATGCCTGTGATATACCAAACAAACGTTTCTTGAAATGGAATACCCTGATTTTCATTATGTCCTTCGATAGAGCTCATAAAGACGAGAGAACACTCTTGATAATCAACATGAGAATTTATATGATTGTCTTTGAAACAATTTACTATTAGCTATTCAAAGGGTGATGACAGTTTGAAAGCTTAGAACTGATGTAGCTCATATACATAATAAGATACATATCACGAATTGATCATAAATGTTTCCATAATATACGAAGTTGAAAGTTAATGTCTCATGAAATAATCTACCTTCAATTTCCGGTAAAACCGGAAGCGATATACATTTGTTTTTTCATGGAAAATATGGGTTTAAAGGAAAAAATCCTCGATCCAAAAGTCTATAATCTAACATGGAAAACAACCGAATGACGCCCTGTCCAATGAATATTATAAATTTTGGATCCAATAAAACTAGAATGTTTTCCTAAAATTTTAAGCATATGTTTTTTAAGTCGTACATTGTGGATTTCGTTACTTGTATCATAACTATAAATGATTCTAGTATAGTATATCCTAGAGTCACTGGATGGTATTAGTTAGTTAGATAAGAGTTCGGACACAGAAATTACAACTGGTAGTGTTTTTGAATGTTTGAATTCATTAAGTTACACATCTTGCATTGTACAACAGCATCATAGTCGTGCCGCGCTTTTTCATTCAGAATTGTTTGAGTTTGACAATAAATTTTATGGACGTCAGAATTGAAATATAATTTCATAAACTATTGAGACAAAAAGCATGAATGAAAATGTCCTGCTGTGTAATGAATTGCGGGAATTCTGAAGGGAATGGCGATTTCATTTCCTTAATTTTCCAAAGGAAATATGAACCATTCCCTTATAAAAGGAATGTATGAAACGGCCAAGATGGAAATCTAATTTGAAGACAATCAACATTTGTGAAGTGATTACATGCATTAAAATTCACTTCTTATAATAGCAGATTGGAATGAAACTATATTTTAGACCCATTTTCGAACAGAAGGTTGATAAGATTCATGGTTCCATTGATTTACAAAACAGACTATTGAAAAAAAATCCAATACTATCATCACACGAAATGCAAAACAACATTATCATAGAGAAAGAGGAATTGATTGCAAAACTACTAGGAAATCAAGTAAATTGCAACGTGAATTGAAAATTGAATGGCTTTTTCAATATGGACCAAATTCAAAAATCATCAGTAAAAAGTGAATGCAGCAGAAGGTGGAAAATCAAAACAATCTTCATGTGTTAAACTTCATCACTCTGGTACAGTTTTACATCCAATAAGGAACTAGCTATAAGTATATCCATATGTGTCTATTCTGTCGTATTAAAATGTTACATGAATTCTTCTCATATTTATCACTGTTGTTCTGCGAGGTTTTTTGCCAATCGCTATATAAATTGAAGTGGGTGTTTATACCCTATTTCTATTTTCGATCTACGACAATGATTGATTTGACAGGAAATCTAACCTCTTAAAGCGTATCTGACAATCAGGCGCTACTAGGGTAATTGAAAAGACAAAGTGCACAATATAAGTCATTATTTATTCACTCGAACTATTGTAATATAGAAAATAGACAAGGACAGAAGCTCAGCTGTGTCCAAACTCTTATCTGACTAGTACCATCCAGTGGGTTGCGTGCAAGAACTGTCAGATGACCGATTTGTTCACAAACGATTGAAATAGTTTTTCATAATTATTTTGGCAAAAAATGCAGCGAGAGACGAAGGAATCCGGTTAGTACATTATGATTTAAAAGTAAATACCTACTATAGTCACTCACATATAGTTTTCATTTTGAAGTTTGGTAATTTCTCTGATTTCTCATCGGAATTCCTTTCGCAATAGGAGCTAATCGAAATACTCGTGAAATTTTCTAAAAAAACGCAAGAAGATTTGATTCATGCAATCAAACGGGAGGACTGGTCTGACATGCTGACGAAATATGATCGTGTGTGTTGTAGACATTCTCAATCTATTAGCAGTATTAGCTTCTATTGCAGAAGTGGCAGAAAAAATTTTAATAAGAAATGACAAAATTTCATAAGGAAAACTATGTGAGATTACTATTTACCTGAAAAATCATATTCCTTCGTCTCTCGCTGCATCTTTTGTGCATTGTACAACATCACAATGAGAAGGCATGCTTGAATTAATAAATAGCGCAAAAAACACGATTCGTATGCCAAAATATTGTGAAAAACTATTTCAATCTTTTGATTCCTCTGTAAACAAATAAGAAGAGTGAGCTTTTTTGTCGAGGTGGTTTAAATCCTTTATGGACACCATATGGGTCCAGTCCCACATATGATAGTGTGGGACTCCCCTGACTCTAACCACGGTTTACCCACTAAAAACACTTATGCTTATGGTGGCCCATTGTATCTCTTTATTGTGCCCACTCCATTATCTCTGTACCTTGAACAAGTCTGTACAAATCCTTCACTGGATGTGAGTTGAATACTTCTGGTTCGCCAACTGGTCGCCATTGTACAGTCCCATTCTGGCGAGATGCTCCTTTGCTGGCGCATGGCCAGTCATGAGTCCCGTGACAGTCTTTATCTGTGCTCTGTTCAAGTTGAGCAGGTCTACAGTTCGTTTATGACTCGGTTCCTGAATGTATTGTTTCCCATGTCTGTTTCTTGGAATGTTTTCCCATTAGCTCTTATGTTTTGCCTGAATCCAGTCTTTAACAACTGACACTCGTGCTGTACGTTTTGGTACTCCAAGAGTCTGTCCTGGATCTGGCTCTTTGCCCGACCCTCTTCTTGCAAGTTCGTCAGCCTTCTCATTGCCAGCGATCCCCTGATGACCTGGCACCCAGATTAGCTTGACGCAGTTCCGGTCTGCCAGAGTTCTCAGTTCTCTGTTGCAATCCCAAGTGAGGTTGTGTTTCAATGTTTCACAGAAGAGTGAGGCTGTGTGTCGATATTTTACCTCCAGGGTCGGTCATCGTGCACGCCACCTATACCCATATTAACGACTATAGCCTTCGTGATCCGCCAAAGTACCTGCAGGAATCTACAGCTCGCAGGATTTCGTTACAGGTTGGAGGTGAACATGCAGGCGCTGCGGACGCAGTTCGAGAGAGACGTGCAGGCTAAGGAGGAGCAGGCGGAAGAAAAGAGAAGAGGCATCGTGAAGCAACTGAGAGATCTCGAGGCCGAGTTGGACGAGGAGAGGAAGCAGCGGGCTGCTGCCGTTAGTGCCAGGAAGAAGCTTGAAGGTAATTTTAACAAAGATGTATAGAAAGTCAAATGGTGCTATCACTTCCTATTGAACATCTCTCAATATAGCCTACTTTGTAAAATTAGCGAGGCGTTTTCAAACCAAATTTACAGGCAACATGACACTTTCATTTGAGTTAACATTTTCATTTTCACAATTTTTGGTTCAAATGGAAACGGTGCGTCATATTTTCGACCTTCAATTGTGAATTCATGAACGACACAAAGTCCTAACTTATGAAAATCCTGTGATAATAGTTTATTTACTCACTTTAGTTACATAAAATATAACGAATGTTCGGATTTTCAAATAATCCTCACACATTGCAGCACAAAGCACTAAACACTCACTCAACTAATGATATAATATCAATACCTTATGCTTATGGCTCCGAAGGAATCCCACCGATAGTTCTCAAGAAATGTGCTCCCGAACTAACACCTGTTCTCTGCAAGTTGTTCAACTACTCTTTCAAATTGGGGATAATCCCGTTCAACTGGAAAATTGCGAGAGTAAAACCAGTTACTGAAAAAGGCAAAAAGAATCTACCTAGCAACTACAGATCGATCGCACTGCTATCTATTATTTCAAAGATCATGGTGAAAGCTATCAACATCGGGCTCATGAGATACCTGGAACATTCAGGTATTATCAACGATAGGGAATATGGCTTCCGTCATCAGAGATCCATTGGTGACCTGCTCGCTTACGTCTCACATATATGGCAGCAATCTATTGAAAAATATGGTGGAACCTTAGCCGTGGCGCTTGATATCTCCAAGGCATTCGATCGAATCTGGCACCACGGACTCCTCGCCAAGCTTCCATCTTATGGCTTGCCTCCCCAGCTATGTTCTCTGCTAGCTAGTTTTCTCTCAAACAGGCCTCTCCATGTAGTGGTCGACGGAGTTCCATCTGACTCTTATTATAAATGCTGGTGTTCCGCAAGGATCAATTCTAGCACCAACACTATTTCTACTCCATATCAACGATTTGTTGGAAGTAACTTCATGTCCAGTACACAGCTTCGCGGATGATAGTACCCAAGCATGCCCTAAAACTGTTGGATTCTGTCCAAAAAAGGGCAATTCGTCTCGTGGGTGACGCATCGCTCAAAAACTCATTCACTTCTCTGGAACACCGTAGAAAAGTTGGCGACCTGGCTATTTTATAGATATTTTCATGGACGATGCTCTTCTGAAATCTCAACAATCTCAACCTGCAGAACATCTCTTTCCAAAGACTCGTTCATCCAACGAACAGCGAGACACATTGCCAAGGGAGGTGTTCCCCGAGGCATATAACCTCCAGAAATTCAAGAAGAACACCAATTCCTACTTTATTTCCCTTGGTTCTCACGATGTTCTTTGAACATTACAGGATATCCCTTTTCGTGGGAACCAGAATATAAAAAAAATTCCTGCTTAAGAAACTACTAATGGTCTTAATTTATAATATTTCTATTTGAGATTTGATCAAAATCTTGAATATGCCTAAGACAAGATGTTTCCACACGGATTATTTGTTGCACCCTGTCTCTTTTGTGTCTTGTCTCTATATGTTTCTTATCAGCTATTATTGAAATCTTGCATCATCATCGGGAGTCTTCAGGTTCCGAAAGAACAAAAATAGATCCTTGAAAATCTAGCTGAACTTCATAATGACATTCGAAATGCATTTTGAAATTTTTCAAGAAATTGTCCATTGTTCACGCCATCTATCATCGAATATGAGATCCCCACGTTCCGAACTCGCATTCAATTGTTCATATCGAGAGCTAGTCTGACGAAACAATTAAAGAGTGGGCACATCAGAGGAATTATTACATCTCACTTTTAACTTTTGAGTAACATTTATAAATTTCGTTCAGATTTAATGAAGCCAAAAATTCTATTCAATAGGGGGCTGTATCTAAGAACGACAAGGTGAATTAATAGTAATAATAATATTTATTTCATTCCTTGTTATGAACATTACATTGCATCTCATATAAATATAAATGTATTTATCAATGTTTATAATGTAATAACATGAATAATCAGACAGATTCATATCTGGTATGAGATTATTTATGCGTTATCAAATCTAAGTTATTGAAATTACAACAGATACAAAAATAATAATAATGATTAAAATCCCATAAAAAGTACATTATGACATGATGAAATGAATTAGGGAATGAAAAATCATTCACTCAGGTTCGATTTTCTCTTTGCAAGAGGATATTTTTCTTGACTTTAATTTTGAATTGGGTGATATTAGTGCAACTTTTGATATCATCAGATAATTTATTGTTGTTTATACTCTCAGATTACCATCTTTCTGCAAATTGCTGAACTATCTAGAAATATCCTTCTTTCTTAAGCAGACGATTTTTCAATTTTGATATTATGAAGGATTTTAAATTGAAAAATAAAATAATCCGGTTGCGACATTCCTTCTTGCATAAAAACATTCAAAAATAAACTTGGAATATATTTTGCATCACCGATCTCTACCAGGGCCTTCCGCTACTCAACAAAAAGTATTTCACCTTGTCACTCATAGATACCTCCCTCTACTGAATAGAATTTCTGGCTTCATTGGTCTCATAATTTGACGTAGTTATTCAAAAAGGAACCATCGTCGCAACAGTACTATGCATAAAACGATGGCTAAATATCCATTCTGATTTTAGCAAAAAAAAAACAGGCGAATTTCAAATATATGGGCATTTATTCTCGATAATAGAACCATCTGAAATCAAGAGAATCTATTCGTTTGTTAAGCGGAAAAGCACCACGTGAGATGGTTCACTTGGTATGCATTCTTTTTTGTTTATCTCTGTTTGATAATTTCTCAGTAGGTATACGATTAGGATGGATCCTATTACTTCACATTTTTACCAAAATCCCATGACAATTCAAAATGCAAAAAATATATTTTTCTCTGAGCTAATTGGTTTTTCCATTGAATTCTCCATGTTCTTCTACATGTGATAAGATAAGAAAGTAGTAAGGCAAAATATCACTGGTTCATTAATGATTCATAATCTTTAAAAGATAATATCTCCAAACTTACTTCTTGTGGCGCTTTTTGCATAACTGCGTCCAATTATGGTTGTTATCTTTAGTGTAAATAATCATGGCCTAAACTAACGTTCTCATTCAGGTGATATCAAGGAACTGGAAAGCCAAATCGAACTCCACTGCAAAGTGAAGGAGGACGCCCTCAAGCAACTGAAAAAGTCCCAGCAGCAGTGCAAAGAGGCCATCCGAGACTCTGAGGAATGCAGAGCGGCGAGAGACGAGTACGCCGCCTCCTGCAAAGAGGCCGAGAGGAAAGTGAAGACGCTCGAGGCGGAGGTTAGTGGAAAACTTGAAGTTTTAACAGACAAAAATTAAATAGATCTAATCGAGATTTTCAATTGGAAAAAAACATTTGCGACCAAACACGAAAGCGTCATATTTTTTTCATTCTTTCTTCTCGAAGACCGTCAAAACTACTGCTAGTTTGCTGATTTGAACAATGTTCTATCTTTCATAATAACGATGGCTATATTCCGAATTCAACTGGTCAGTACTGGCAGTTGATCCACTGACTCTGCTGAAAATCTGTGTTCCGAAATATAAAATCAGAAATTCACTACTGTAATTCGGGACACGTTTTCATGTTTTTTATCAGTAGTAGTTTCTCGTTTATCTGAACTAGATGTTTAGCCTCCTACTTGTTATAAATTTTGGAAATTAAATATTTAACATGGAAAAAAAATCGATTCTTGTATCCTCTATAGTTTCTACGATTGTTGACGATGGCGATTCAAGCTCGAGTGATGAAGAATACTTGAACATTTTGTTGCCATAAATTTCTCATGATGCACCAGATTGAGAATTGAGATTCATGAAAATCGCAATATGCCTTAATGATGATGAATTTTAGGAGACATTCCAGGTTCATTCAGTTTATTTAGCCAATGCTGCTCCTTTCCTTACCTGCTCTACTACTTCATACTCCAGGTATTTTCTGATATTGAGAATCATTTCATTAACAACGGAAATGAATGTTACATTCCTTCCCCCTCTAAAATATGACAGTTCACTGAAGCCACACTACCTTCAGATATTCAGCAATTCCAGCAGAATGTTGAGTCGAAATATTTGGAATGAATAGTTTGTCTGCTGACAAGCATCTGTCACTTCCAGTGAATTTTTTGATTTCGGAATGGAAAATCAGCAGATTCAGTACTGTCAGTTGAATTCGGAATGTAGCCGATGTTACCAACAGGCGAGTGGTCTTTTTTTATTTCTTAAATAGAATCATCACGCAAATACCTTTCAATTTCATATTTTTTAAGAAATTTGCGGTCGATTTTTAGGTGCTAAAATAATCAATAATGCCACGGTAATTTTCAGACGGCTAGAACTTTACCGCTAGTAAAAACTGACGCCACGATATCGTAAGTAGGGGCAGACCATAGCACAGTTGTGATGTGTTGAAATACGATTCGGAACTTCAGAAATATAAGTTATTCAATAATAATTCATAAACTCTCAGTTGAGTTATTGGTAAAATTCCTAATTAGCAATAAAAATTAATTTTTATCGAGATGTTCCCTCATGATTTGTGGCTTATTGCTTATAATTAATTTGTGCGAATAATAATTATATGTTGATTCACACTAGAGGGCATTTGAATCGGTGAACGTGACTACCTCTTGCACGTATTGTGGGCGTGGTCTTGTCAGTTCTCAGCATTCAGCACAATGTTGCCAAGTCTCCAACATTAACATGATATTTTGTCATGAAGAATAAGAAATATTTGGACATGCTGGTTGTGGAGTAATTAAATGTCAATAATGCATTATCAGTCCACTCGCCCATGGTCAATGGTGAAATAGAATAGAATAAATTTATTATGATTGACAAGAATCAATACGTGTATAAAATTCGTCAAGATTTTATCTAGAATAAATACAATACAATAGTGGAAAATAATATGAGTTTTACAAAAATTTTTGATAAAATAACATCAAAAAATTTAAAGACAGTTTATGAAACATAGTCGAAGAACTCACTGAGTGAGTGAAACATATTTTCAGTAAGGAGAGGTTTCAGGCTATTCCTGAATTTGAGGCGAGTGGTACAATCCCTGACACTTCCTGGCAATGTGTTAAAAATTTTGATACCCATGTTTGTAGGGCCGGTGTTGGTTAGTTGTATTGTTTTTTTGGATGGGTAAATCAGGTTGTTATTCCTTGTTGAATAGGAGTGCATGTCAGTGTGTGCAATTAGATTATTTTTCTCCGATTGGCAGCAAATATTAATTTTGCTGACACATATCAATCAGCAAAGTATAACTTTTCCTGCCTAGGCAGCAAAGTGGGTACTTTTGGTGTAAGTGGGTTTTAGCATATTTTGTATTACCCCTGTTATAAATGTTGTTAAATTATCAGAATTATTTTTGCTGCACAAAAGTGCATTTTTATCAAAAATCGATTTTCCGCACGAGTACTTTTGTTCAGGAAATTGTTTAGGTAACCTTGTTTTGCTAAAAAATATAGCACTGACTCCTGCATGGACGCTCATCGAAGGAATTCATTTGTTTAGTCAATTACCAAAATTTGGATGATTTTGAATGTTCACTTTGAAAGTTATCAAAGATAAACATTTTTCATTTTGTAACTTCGAGGGCCCGTTACTTGGTAACGAAGGATTTTAGGAAAAAAGTTACAGGAAGTACTGGTGATATTTTGACCCCAGCTATACATTTCCCAGAGGAAAAGAGGAAGTTCAGGGACACCCTGTCTGTATCACTACATCTACATCGGCATAGCCGCCATTTTTTTGCCTTGAATTGATTGTTAACACTAGCAATGAGAGAACAATGAAGCCAGAACTACTTTTTGTAGAGATCGGTAATGCAGAATATATTCGAAGTTTATTTTTCGAGAGTATAGACAAGATATGTAGATAGATAGATATAATAAAATGATTTTATTCATAGGATGTCACCTAAGCAATGTGTTGTGAATATCCTGGGTTAGACATATTTTTAGTTTCAACCCTGTAATGTTATGATATGATAATTGAAACTATATATGCAAATGAGGAAGGAAGGACATTAGTCGAATAGTTTTCTGGATGTGTCATAATGATCAATATTTTTTTTCTCTTTTTTCATCCTTTTTTTATTTTGCAAGGTTTTCAACTAAGGGTAATTTTTTGACTAGTTTCGGTACATAGTAGGAAATAAATTGCTTCAAATTCAAATTCAAATTTATTAAATCCTTTTTCCCTATAGTACAATAGATTGGACGACTTTTTGTATATAGAGGAATTGTGACAGACAGATTGCAATATAAATCGGTCTAGAACTAAAGCCAAGTTTTGCTACCAACATTTTACATGTGGACACTGTCTCAGGATGTACCTATCTCTCATTACAAATGGCACGAATTTCATTTGGCATTCCTTCCTTCCTGTTTCACATTTTTTCACCCGAATCTGCCGACCTATATCACAGTTAAATCCACTCAAGAACCAGTTATGGCTTTCCACTAACATTTTGTATCCATGTCGAATCTACTTGTGATGTTGGGCAGAAGACTAAAACGGCAATGTCATTCGTGGTCAAGTCACTGAATAGCAAAAAATCTGAAGGGTATCTCCCATGCAGTAATGAATTTGCGCCTTCGAAGTGCCCACCTGATGTTAGGTTAGATATTTGTAATTTTCATTCCATCATCTGAATAATCCGAGACTTACGACTCCTGCGTGTCATTGCGCAGTAAACAAACAGGGGTAACGAACATCAAAGGTGCCGATAGTAAGTGCGACCACTTGATCTTTAGCTCTCTACTGTTCCTAGGTGCTGCAGTTGACCGAGGACGTGTCGAGCTCGGAGCGAGCTAGAAGGGCGGCCGAGGCGGAGCGCGACGAGCTGCTCGAGGAGATCAACAGCAGCAACAGCAAGGGCAGCCTGCTGGTGGACGAAAAGCGGCGGCTGGAGGCAAGAATAGCGGCGCTGGAGGAGGAGATCGAAGAGGAGCAGAGCACTAACGAGCTGCTGCAGGACAGGTAGGCCGGGCTGGTTTTCGGTTCATTCATTTATTTACTAGCTGTACCCTGCCCGCGTTGCAATGCTACTTACTAAAATAAATTTGAAGGAAAGACACTACACAAATATTGACTTCATTCCGAATTATTTTATTGATTATAGCTGTCCTGGCAAACGGTGTTTGGTTGTGTACAGTCGTCTTCAGAGAACATGTCGCACATGGACGGTGTCAGCTCTCGATCACCGCAGCAATAAGAGCTTTCATACCATCCAACCGCGACAATTTGACTGAAGACGAGTGTACATTATTTCTAAACTGTTTTTTCACTTGAATATTCAACAGCACACTTTCATTATATTACTTTCTACTTCTGTTTAGTTCGACTAACCATACTAGCGTGTTATTTTCTTAGATTTTAAAACTACTATTTATTTTCTGTTTTTTTTTGTTTGGCTATCTATATGAAAGCGTGCTTCAATAGTTTTTTGAAACATTATTCATTACAAAGCTCGTTCGACATATTGAATCCGTCTACTTGAAATTTCTAATCATGAGGGAGGAATAATAATCTCCGACCTCGCAAACCCTCAAATACCAAGTTTAAATAGAATCGGAACATAATTAATAAACATGTGCCGTAGTGGATCTGCCAACTTGAATTCCCAAAATTTGACAAAACAATCATGATCTCTGAACCAAAAAACCCCTAGACAGCAATTTTGAACAGAATCGGATCATAGTTACAAAAATCGTCCGCGGTATTGAATCCGCCATTTCAAATTTACAGGAAACAATCATAATCTCCAATCCCGAAATCCCCCAGATATCAATTTTGAATAGATTCGGATCATAATTACAAAACTAGTTCGCCATATTATATCCTACATCTTGAATTTTTCAATTTTGAGGAAAGAATCATAATCTCCGACCCAAAAAATCCCCAGATACTAATTTTAAACGGAATCGGATTATATTTACAAAACTCATTACCTATATAGGACCCGCCATCTTGAATTTCTCAATTTTTTCTCTCATAAGAACCTTCTTCTGACAATAACAAACAAAACAAGAAAGAATTAGTGAAATCGACAAGCCGTTTACGATTCTATAGAGGACATAGAGACAAAACATTCATTTTTATATATTTATATGTTATATGGTAATTTGTTACATTTGTTTACTGGGCGAATGTTCTTATAGCATGATCAAATGGTGTTCAAAAGTGCCTGTCTCGTGACATGAGTCCGGTAGACGGTTTCTCAACATGATCTTTTATTCTTTGGGGTGCTGAACGCGAATCTAAATAAGATTTACTGGTTTTTCTCTCATGTCTTGTAAATGACGCATCATCCAGAAAATGTCATGGTATTCAAAGTTGAAGAGCATGTCAAATTTATAAAGTCGCCATCGTCATAATTCACCAACTTTTGTGAAATCTGCAACAAACTGACTTCTAGACGCGATGGGTCTCATGATTTCTCCAAACGTTTATTTGATGAAGTCAGAGAAGAGAAAAAGCCTCATTTCTACCAACCGCATTCTGCAGTGAAACGAAATCTCATGATGTTTCTGCACACGATGAATTCTTGGAAACTCTCTCAACAACCAGAGCTTGAAGAGACCGTTGGAGAATTCTTGGATCCGTCAGCCCAGCCAATGAAAATCTTTGGTCGCCTTGTCCGGGGATAACCATCTTACAACTAGTTTGAATGCGCTGCGATACAAGCAGTACGTGACATCTACCTTCAAGTTGCAATTCACCCAAAAATGATCTGATCCCACTTACGACCCTGAAACACTCGGCCCCTAACAAACTAATGCAGCAAATATCATGCAAATGCTGCACTATGTGGTGGGCAGTGAGGATGCAGGCACGCAAGATGGGTTTAAAAGGAAGGGAGGGGGAGTTGGTACTTCAATTAATGGTTGCGTTTAGAGGGACACTGGAGAAGTGATCAATATATGAGTATGTATTGATCCAAATTTAAAATCTCCATGCTCACTGAACTTATTCTACTAGTTTTTCACGTAGACTGACTGTTTCAAATCACAGTCATCTAACTATGAGTGTATTGTAGTTTTCTCAAAGGTTGGTGAAAATTGTTTTTTTTCGAATGACGATGGCCAACATAAATTTGGAAGTTAGGGTGACGCAGAGTTTTATGCTCTTCAAGTTTGAATTCATGTGTCTTTTGCAAGATATAAGCAGAAAACCGGAAATACATTTTGTGGTTCTTTACGTTTTCCACCTTAACTGGTACTGATATGAGACAGCAAACTTCAGATACCCGTTAAGCACCCCAATAAAACATATAATTCCGTTAAGAAACCTGCTACCGGACTTGTGTGAGTTAGGGTCCATTGATGTGAATTGACGTATTTGTCATCTCAACAGGGTACGGACAGAACCTCGTCTCCTCTCACTCTAAAGTGTTTGTGAAACAGTTATATAGTTCCATCTTGTAATTCAATGTTCTGCGTGGCATTAGCCAGGAAAGTAGTTATTTTTCTCTCGAAATCTACCATTGTTGTTCATTTCATGAACATTGTGTGGAAATTGCTTTGAGCTTTTCGTAATTATTTAACATTTCATTCCACTTTGAGCATTGTGGTTATTTCGTAGTTGAAATTACGCCAGTTGGGCAACCAGCCACTCCCCTATGGAAAGGAGACTACACTGCACTGATGAGAGTCAAAGAGCTCGAAACCGGTCTGTGGTTGTCTAGCGTGGCCTGGCCTAATCGAAATCAATAGGCATTCAGGAAAGAATCACTTGTATCAGTATTCGTTTATACGAGTCGATGCATAGATTTCGGGAGGATGTAGTTGTTTTTCTCCCGAAATCTACCATTATTGTTCATTTTATGATCATTGTGTGGAAATGACTGACCTTTTCGTGATTAGTTCCATCTTTTTTCATTTCTGGGGATAAAAACTAGATTTCTGACATTTGTTGTTTTTAGGTTATATTGAGGACATTGGCTTATCATACGTAATTTCCACATGTAATTTCTCATCCAACTCTACATATTATATCCAAATGATTATGACAATTTTCGAGTTTTTGATTTTTCGAGTCCAGCATAATCTTGTGAGGCAGTGAGAAAATGTTTCTGAAAGTTTAATACGTTTCACCAAATGGGACTGTTCTTAGGAAGTACCTATCAATAAATGAATTTGGATTTCAGACTTAGCCTTATGGTTGAGAAATGGTGAAAAATGTTATTTAGGTATCCAAACTAATGTGCTCATATGTCATGTGTGCTGTATATATTCATGTTGGGAATCATTTTTGTAGTTTTCCACGAACACTTAATATTTTCTGAATGTAGGTATAATTTTTTAAATGGTATGTCATATTCCTCTTCTTTTAATCCTCCGTTTTAATCAAAACTGTTTCTACTAAAATGCATTCAAAAACTTGTGAAGTGGCACAATAAGAAAGTATAATATGTGATTTCGTATTAGTTTTAACTCGAATATATTGCTGATGTATTTACCAATTTTCCCCATTCGGTCACTTCACTTTCCATGTTCAAATTCAAATTTGCCTTCCAACTGATTGATACAGCCTAACGCAGCACAGTTTACCATGCAACCAAAACATAATTGAATAATGTCGTATTAAGATGAAGCATGAAATTAAAATTTTGTAAGATCTTTTATCGCCTATGAATGAGACGTGACAGCAATGTCATGTCAGGGACGCCAATACACGAAACCAAAGTCACTAGATGATTAAAAGAGAAAGGAGCTATGATCTGTCCGTACCCTGTTAGATGATAAATACGTCAGTTTGCATCAAGGGACCCTAGTGTGAGTGAATACGCATAGAGATTCGTGGGTATCTAATAAAGAGAGTAATAGTTATTTATAAACCAAGATAGTAAAGAATATCAATATTACCCAGGGACCAAGCTTATGTCCAAGGCACCCCCCGAGGGATATAAGGTCCCGTGATAATACAGCCTTGACCATGACACTATATATTTATGACAAGTATCAGAACAGTGAATTCGGGTTGATAGTAACAGGTGGCTAGTAGTTCATGAAATGACGAAAGTTACCTCGGTAGACAAAACACTTCACGCCATGAAAAGGAGAACATAATGGTAGGGTAGGTTCAATAGCTAGTTGTGGAAAAAAACATTAAGGAACTCTTGTGTATAGAGATTAAACTCAATCCACCCGTTTCTCTCAAAAGGGCGAGGAAGGCGCAGCTGACCATCGAGCAGCTGACCGCCGAGCTGTCGGGCGAACGGGGCGCGGCGCAGAAGCAGGAGTCGCAGCGGCTGCTGCTCGAAAGGCAGAACAAGGACCTCAAGGCGAAGCTGGCTGAGCTGGAGACGGCACAGCGGACGAAGACGAAGGCGACGATCGCGGCGCTCGAGAGCAAGATCGCCAATTTAGAGGAGCAGCTCGAGGTAGGCAATAGAATGGATAAATACGATTTTTCTGTAGTACTTAGTCCATACTCAAAGTGGAGTGGAATGATCAAGACAGAAAACTCGAAGTCGTCTCCACAAGTTTAATGTTAAAAAAGATGCAGTCAATCCTGCTTCAATAAAGTTGTTAAGAGACATGTTTCGGTCATTCAAATTCGCCATCTTGTTATCATAATTTGTGCTTTAATAAAAATTTGGCTTTTTCACTTTTTCACTTTCACTTATCAATTACTAATCAATTAATATTGTAATACTTTATAATAATCACCATTGTTCTTTTATACTTCTGAAATTGTTAACTAATTCAATGTTGCATTTACAACTTTGTGAATTTCCTTTTTCATTTTCTTCATGGTATGTTGAAATTGAGCTTGGGTTTTCTATTGTAGATACACTTTGATGTACCAATTTGACCATTTGGATTGCCCACACATGTCTCAAACCTTATTGAAGCAGAATTGACTGCGTTGACTGGAGACGACTTCGAGTTTTCTTTCTTAAAAACGATTTGTTGAATCAATTGATGAATGGTGGGGTTAACTTTGTGGAATCATGGTCAAAGAATCGAGGGCGTTATCGATCTGAATGAAAAACCTATCTAGAAGGCGAGTACGTGTGATATTGTGTGCCCAAGTTCGCCGTTATTGTGAGTTGTCTTTACCGTAGACGTTGACTCGAACTGAATTTTTCATTTTTCATCGCAAACCTAGACATTTGCGGTTAGGATCGTTTGCGTTCGAAAAATGAACAGGTTGGTACCATAAGAACCATGTGCAGCTACGCATACGCGGCAGAGTTAATTCAATAATGCACATACACACATTCGTAGAAATCCCGATTCATTTATATTATATATATCTAAAGAATATCAACTCTCTGGAATGATTCCGCAGAGTTATCCCCACCATTCACGATATCATTCATTCATCCATCCGTGTTTGGCGTTTAGGATTGTTGGCGTAGATTTTTGGAGGTTTGACACCGTCACAGGATACTTCGTTAAGCGGCTAAGATCATTTGCTTTCACAAAATAAACAGTTTCCATTCCATAAGAACCATGCGCAGTCTCAATTGACTGTACACATTTACAAGTTAAATCATGAAAATCATCCATATCTCAAAGTGGTCCAAAGTTATTTCAAAGAAAACAAGTAGCTCAAAGTCGGTCGACCACACTTTATATGAAACAATCAGTTAATACATGTAACCATCATCAGCCATAAAAAGTACATGTAAAATGATGAAAAACAGTACAATTGGTAAAAGAAAAAAATTCAGGACATACCAAGATATTAAGCATTAGGTAGCATTACTATGGCAAAACAAACGTGAGCAAAGCAATTCGTCAACGGGCTATCGGAGTTGGGCACATGAGGAAAATGTTTTTATATTTGGTAAAGAGCCAGAAAAAACTGGCTCTGATAAGATCAAACATCTTATCAAGTAATGCAAGAAATTTTTTATAAACTACATAATATCATGCTGAAAGCAGCCATCTCAGTGATCCAAGGGCTACGGAACACGGAAATGGAAAAATTGAAGACAATTTGAAAGACGGACCAAGACTTTGACAGTTGAACGTGAAACAGTATCTTATACTTTTGAGGGTTTGATAGATCACATGTTACTTTGTTGAGCTATTAAAATCGTTTGCGTTGGAAAAATGAACAGTTTGAAACCATAAGAAACATGTGCAGTTTCAATCGACTGTACGAATCTATACTCACCGGCAAAAAACCGACCAGCAAAAAATTTTGTCATGTTGATCGCTCTATAACTTTTTCAACTCTTGTCCATTTTTTGTGAACTTGGAAATGTTAACCTGAACTTCAGTTTATAAACAGTTCGAATCTTGAGAACCAATTATAAAATTCCACTCCGATCGTAGGTGGAGGCCAAGGAGCGCCTGGCCCAGCAAAAGACCAACCGCAAGCTGGACAAGCGCAACAAGGAGCTCGCGATGCAGCTCGAAGACGAGCGCCGGCACGCCGATCAGCACAAGGAACAAGCCGAGAAGGGGAACGCCAGGGTGAAGGCGCTGAAGCGGCAGCTGGACGAGGCCGAGGAGGAGGTGACGCGCGAGAAGGCGCAGAAGCGCAAAGCGCAAAGGGAGTGCGAGGACATGTTGGAGTCGCACGAGTCGATGGCGAGGGAGATCAACAATTTGAAGAGCAAGTTGAGGTGAGTGATCGTTCGGTCTGTTGGTTGGGAGGGTGCCGAGTGCTGTGTCGCTGTATCTATTACCACAGTGTATTATCTAAACGAGACAGTAAGAGCACTTCATATCGACAGAACTTGTTATTCTGTGTCCGAATGTCAGCTGAAGCATAATATACGATGCCCAATCTTGAGCCCTGGTTTCTCTGACCAGATCGGCCCGAAATATTTCGTTGATGCAGCACAGAAAGTTCGTTAGCGTTTTCGGTGAAACCAAGCGTATTTTAATACGTAGTGGCGGTTTGTATGAAAGATCGGACCGAAATTTCGGGAAACTGAACGGATAGCAGTTCGTCGGAATCAACCAGTGTTTGATTTCAACGATTTCAAAACGGCACAGTTCGCCGAAATAGTGTAGTGTGTTTGATTTCTTCCTTTATATGATTCAGTAGATCATGGAATAGTGATGGAGTTGAACGGAAAAATTCTTCGAATTTTGTATCATTATCCGAAAGATACTTCAATACTAACAACTCATAAACACCTTCTTTGGCCTTTTTCTCAAAAATTTTCGAAACTTTATTATTTTCAGTACATACTCCTGATAACGCATACTCATCATCGGCATCATGTTCTTCTTCTAAAATCGAAGCAATAAAAAAAAACCATTTTTTATTTTGATTTTGCCGCAAACATCCTACGAGAAGACTGAAATATATCGGAACGAAAATTTACGAAAATTGTCTTCAGACAAACCACACATCGACGAAACTTCTAAACGAACTGAATCCGGCGAATATCCACGTTCTGTACACTGATATTCGCCGAAATATTTCGGGCCGATCTGGTCAGAGAAACCAGGTATTTAGTCCTCAAACATACGAACACGTACTTTTATTTTATTTCCTAAGTGAAAATAAGCATGAAATAATCTAAAGAATTGCGAATAATAGGTACAAATAATAAAACAATTGCACCAATCACAGATTGAAAACATACAGCAACCATAACAATAGAACAAACCCTTTTCTGGAAGATTTGAGACACGTTGTAAATATAATGCTGGCCTCTTCGTAAATTCGTCAACTTTGAGCTATTGCACGTCTATGCATGACTTTATATGAGTAAGAACTTACTGTCTACTTTAGGATAATATACTGTGCTGGTACCCAACACATGGCACAAAAACGGCATCAGAATAGGAGGTAGTTTTCCCTTCCTTAAAGGAAAGTGCCGACGTAAGGTGAACTCCTTGCGTTCTTATTGTAAATAGGTTGGTTTATCAATCGTTAGTTGAGCCAAATTGACTACAAGCTAAGGCTCAACCTCTAGTAACTCATAGTGAATTCCATTAGCAGGAACTGGTGGAGTGTTTCTGCACTGAATGTATATGTTTCCTTCTTTCTCGCATGTGTTAGACAAAGGTATATATACACTCAGTGGAGAAACACTCTTCCAGTTCCTGCCAATGGAATTCGCTGTTAGTTAAACTGTCCTTCTCCGAGTTTATTGTAACAGACATCAGAAGTATCTGCCAATTCAATAATGAAATTAGAAATTATTCTCAATGATTTTGATAATTAAGGTTTTGCTCAGCAAAACTCCTTATGTTGATGATCCTGGAGCAAATGTGGAAAGAGGAAATGAAACTACAGTAGTTAGATAGGAAACATATAGAATAAAATTGTTCAAGTAATAATATTCAATTTGTATGTTGTGAGTTTCTTACAGAAATTATTAGCAGTCCTCTTTTGCTTTCCAATTTGTTTCCTTTTGTCTCCAAGTCACTGCATCAGTTCTTTTTATTTTATCTTAAATAACATTATTTGAAACTGCTCACTGGTACTGCTATGATAAATTGCATTAACTTTTTCTGAAGTCTACAACTATTTCATTTTCATTAATTCTATAATTTTTTTGGCTGACAACATACCGATGAGGGCAGACACCGTACTAGAGATTACCTTTGATAGGTTTTTTCTACCAATCAAATCAGGTGTTTCGAAAATCACTGCTCATGATTGATGAACCGGCCCTTATTGATCACAGTAGCTGACCCCACAAACGTTGTTTTGCTGTATACATTATTTCTAGAAAATATTTTTCAGTTTAATATTCATCAACACACTATTACCATTTTATTTTATACTTCTTTTCAGTTTATCTATAAAATCGTGTTTCATTAGTTGTTAAAATATAATTTATTTTCAACTACTTTTTAGTTCACTTGAATTTCCCAATTTTGACGAAAGAATCATGATCTCCGACTCGTAAAACCCCCAGATGAAAATTTCGAAAAGAATCGAATCATAATATCAAAACTCATCTGCCATATTGTAGTAAATTTGACATAAACATCACGTCTACGTAGTATTGGTTCTCTTGTTTGAGCACAATAGTTTCGTCCGTTTACGAGAAAACGCAATTGAACAGTTCAAAGTCTCGGAAGGAGTTTTCAAATATGATTTGATTTATGAAGAGTCTGCTTTGGACTGTCAGATAATTGTTGCTGGTCGATTACATTTCTTGTCAGTGAATAAATGTCGATTGATACGCCCTGTATCTTTTACCACAGCAATATTTTATTAAGGCATATTCGGTTATGGCTCACCCTGTAATAATGATCATCGAATTAGTTGATAGAGTGAATTTAAATCGTTTGATTTCCTTCATAATCCAGGTAAATCATTTCAATATGCAAGAAAATGTTTTCGATCTTATTTATTTCATGGTTCAAAAAATGTGAGTATGACCAACAACAAAAAAAATTATAGAAAGTGCTCAGAGAAAAACACTTATCAACAAGAAACACTTTTTCCAAACATTATTACAAATGAACAATCTGATCTAGACTAAATACAATAACTTGAACACCTGAAATCTACTATGAAAACTTTTTCGTCCTAATGCACTACAATACCCTTACAGATCCTACTTGGGTGTATATAAACTTGATATTTCTCTCAAATTCATGATTTTTCAGTAAAAAAAGTGTACCTTGTGAACAAAATTTTTTCTACTGAGGTTTGAAAATATAATTCATTTCGGATAAATACACATTTGATTCTCTTTTTTTCATACTTTTACAAACCCTGAAAACTAGAAACTTTGACATGGATTGCTTAATAGCGTTCTCCACTAGGTTTTACTGTGCAACACTGACATTACCCCAGTTTTTACCTAATACTCGAATGGTGTTTGAAAAAATGTGATCTCAGTGGAACAAGTTTACGAATGTTTGAAGCCGTTGGATTCTATTTCTCTGAATCAAATGTTCACCATTGATGGAGAATTTACTGAATGTGAGCTGGAGGAAATATCCCTGGCAGGTATAATTGAAGTGACATTGCATAACTTGATAAGAGGTAGAGATAATCACAACATGACCATGAAATAGACTACAAAACATCGACATGAATCAGTGCACTGGCCACTGGTACTCCACAACTTACCAGAGACGTTGGAGATAAAATCATCGGACTTGAAAATATGACAACTATATCAAAATCATGGCCACTCTACTGCTTGAGTTATACTACGAGTTCTATGTTGGCATCAGGATGTATTCTTAATATGAAAAAGGCAACAGAATGAGATGTGATGATATCATCTTCCAACACAGAAAAGTCATAAATATTAGGCGGGTGTAATATAGCCTCCAATATTAACGAATCATAGCGAGAGTCTTCGCTTCCCTATGGTGTCAAACGTTGTTTTATTAGTTGGAATATACTATAGTTTTTCGAGTGAAACATGTTACCAGTGATGTAATATAAACTGAAAATGTTCAGTTGAACAACTAATTGCACTGAAGCTGCACGTAAAACCGAGTGGAAACGCTATAAAACTGATTGAAATTCAAATTCAGGACTAAAAGTCGATATTTTTCAACGTCAGTAGGAAACATATTTATTATATGAAAGGCACTGTATACGCAGACACATTTCTTTACAGCTTGCAAAAGTGACTGAAATAAGATTCAACTGCACCGAAATTAATGTTGGTACGTGGAAATTGTGTGCACTGCCGCAGTGAAAACTCGAAAGACTTAGCTCTATTGGCTTCTAAAACTTGGCTGTATGTTTGTGAATAACTTATCTGGTTGATTAGGCAACTAAACTATATTTTCTCATTTTGGAAATAAAATTATGCTACCTAGTGATGTTTCATTTGTAGATTTAAATGGTCAATGTGCTTACTGAATACTCAATATAAAATTCACTATGTCAATTCTGGGAATTGAATGCAATCTACTGAAAACTCAAGAGTCTATTTAGATCGTACTGATTTTATTTTCTGACAAGACACAATGAGACCGCAAATTCATAAGAAACGGTCATTGACTAGAATTGACCATGAAGAATGCTGAAATAGACAAGGTCACTGTGTCTCATCAAAAATAAAAAAATTACGCCCACTTTGGGTGTAACTAGAAGTTCTTGAAATTGATACCATCTTCAAGTAATTGATAAACACAATCATATTGTATGAATTATTCCTTCTCTATTATTTTCCAGAGTAGTGTTAATGTTATTTTTGTTCTATTCAAGCATGTCACAAATTACTAGTTTACCTGCTTTCACTACAAACGAACAACTTCAGACAAGCTTACCAGAAACAATTAAGAAAATGTGGGGTGTATCATTCGAACTTAAGTGAGTCCATGGTTTTTGGTGAATGAGCAACCCCTGAACCTGATCGAATATTACAAACAACAATGTATCCCAGAAGTAATATTAACAGATATTAACAATAACTCTGCATGGTGTTGTGTGAGCAAATAACATAAATTATCAAAACTGTACACATGTATCATTTTCTATCCCTTTGGGATAATAGTGATTATTTTCTTCGTATGATTTTGAACGAATCAGAACGTTCAATTGAGTTAAGCTACCTTCTATAATTCCGAATATACGTGGAGATACATAGAGTAACTCCACCAATCAGAAATTGGGAATTATTTCCATCTTTTTAGTAACCAATTCATATGTATAACCCGAAAATTTTGAATTACTTATAGT